GCCTCTCTCATCTTTTTAAGTGGGAGAACGTGCACAATTGGTGGCTGACTAAATACTTTTTTGCCCCACTGTATGTAACCTTTGGGGAGAATTGCATGTCACTTGTGGGTGGGGCTTAAGGGGTGCGGTGGGCAGGGATCTGCCAAAAGTGGGTGTGGCCACCTATTCTCTTCCTGGGACCCCCTTTCACTTCCATCTTTCTCATTCCAGACCCTCTAAATCTCTCCTTGCACTACAGAATAAGATAGGATATCCTCAGAAATTTGGCCCACTTGCAGATTAAGGGCTGCTCATTGCCAACACCTCCTCCTCAAAATGTACAGACAGTGGTTGAAATTTCCCTAACCGGTGTGCCTGTTTGAAGACCCCAGAAAACCCAATATTTCCTTGATGCAAAATTTTACATTCTTAAAGGTAGAAGGTCTGATGCAAAAGATCTCCCTTGCAGGGTTGTTGTGTGAAGAGTGAATCAGCTCATTTGCTTTATCTGGTCTGTCTTCACCACCATCCCTGTATTCTCTGTTGTGTCTGGCAGAATTCTTCTAGATTTCAGGCCAAATGGTCTCCCCATTTTTCGTCCTGTTGGGAGGGGCTGGGAATTGAACCTAGAACCTCTCAGCATCCTGGGCAACTGTGGAATTGCAGTCAGTTCTGATCATCACAAGTTTAAAAGATACTCTAGAAGCTTGAGAAAGATAGCCCAAATGATCACAGGGCTGGAGCAATTTTCTTTCAGGGAAGGATGATAGCAGCTGGGTCTCTCGAGATGGGGACGAGGGTAAGGAGAACCATGCTAGACATCTGAAAAATCAAGCATGGCATTAGGTCACAGAGAGAGAGAAGGAAGTCCCCCCCCCCACCTTGTTTCACAGTGTTAAAACTCCAAACCTATTAAAGCTAAACTCTGAGATTCAGGACCAACTGAAACAAATAACTTTTTACCCAGTGCATCGTTACATAGTTGTGATCAGGACTACCAGGTTGGATACAGGTGGTCCTCGCTTAATGACCGTTCGTTTAACACTGGTGGTTATGGTTCAGTTCAATGGTTCAAAGTTATGGCGGCCTTGGAAAAAGTTACTTATGATCTGTGCTTACGGCCATCGCACCCCCCCTCCGTGGTCATGTGATCGTGATTTGCAACTTTTTTATGACAGTCGTTAAGCAAATCATGTGGTGGTTAAGCGAATTCCGACAAAAAACATCCATTGGGGACACTGGATTTGCTTAATGACCATCATAAAAATGGTCATAACATTGGGTCCACTCATGTACTGACTCGCTTAACAACCAATTTTATGGTGCCTATTGTGGTTGTTATGAGAGGATTACCTATAGTTTGAAAAGGTTCAGGGAGGATAAGCCTATCTGAAAGCTATAAATACTGATGGCTGTTGATGAACTCTTGAATCATGGATAGGAGATCAACTGCTGGGGTGGGTTCGGGAGCTCCTTCCGTGCATCCAGTTGACCCCTGTGGGGGGGGGGCGAAGATGGGTCAGCTTTAGGCTCTGCCGATGTTCTTAGGTGCTTCCGCCATTTACCAGCATGAGACACCCCCTTGTCTATTTGGATCTTTCAGGAAATGTGCCACAACCCACTTTTCATCATAGATGGAGCCACACGTACCGACGTCTGCCAAGGTGCTCTGGGTGAGTGATGAGGTCTGCAGCCATGTGGGTTTTCCCATCCCTGGTTCCCTTTTCATCTTTTTCCAGCCTGTTGGGAGCTGAACAGATATTGGAGGAATAGTCCAGCAGGAAGAATCATGTTCATCCCCTGGAGCAAAGAAAGGGAGTCTTTTAAACCAGGGAGAGCCATCAGGGGCCCCTGGACCTTGGGGGCCCTTGCCAAGGCCTTGCGTATGGCCCCCTTCCAAAAGCATACCTGAATTTGAATATTGAACCTGATCGAAAGGGAATGGATTAAACCCATCCTGATTCAGCATCAAGTTAAATTTATTTTTTTTTAAAGTTGATTTTTAAAAAAAATACAGGTCTCCCCTATAGCTTTGCCTTGTTTTGCCCCTTTGGGGTAGGGTACCCTCTTCCTTCACAAGCCCCAGCTGGAAATATTTGGGGCACCCCTGTTTTAAACTGTAAAGGAGTTGAATTTCTTTTCCAGTCTATAGCACAGTGTGTTCTCAACCTTGGCCACTTGAAGATGGGTGGACTTCAACTCCCAGAATTCCCCAGCCAGCATGGAAGAGGGAGAATCGAGTATTCTTTAGTGGTTCCAGGCTATCGTTCCCACCCTGGCTGGGAGTGAGAAAAAGCTTTGCTCCGGCGGAGAATGAAGGCCTTAGAACATGTTTTCCTTTGGGGATACTGCGGGTGGATGATGAAATGCATTGAAGCTCCCTGGCGCTGCACTCCACTTCCTTTCTCTGCCGCGCGTCCACTGTGGTCAGTCTCAGAGTTTGGACACGTGCTCAGGAGAGAGATTCCCAACAGCTGCAGGAAATGCTCCTGACCTCCTGTTCTTGCTGCTTCCCCTGCTCTGGAAATGATCTGCTCAGCGCCTGCATGTAGCTGTCACCCCTCCCTGTGGCTGAAAGCCAACTTTGGGGCTAAGAAACAGGTTGGGGCTTGTGGTAATTCCAGTTTCGGAAACTATCACCCAGTTTAGCCTTCCGTTGTCACTCCTGACCGATTGCGGCCCTGCGAGATTGCACGCAAGGTGAAGGTTGCCTCTCGCCCCAACCCCGGGCTGCCTTAAGCCTAGTTTATCCAATAAGCCACGGCTGGCTGGGTTTATGCAGTTCGCAGAGTTGCCGGCACCGCCTTTCATAACGTCAGGATTGACGCTGGTGCAACAGGTTGTGCCAACAACAACAGATCAAATTTTTGCAGCCCAGAATTCGTAATGCAGATCAGCAGAAGCCCTCTGGGGTTTGGAGTTGATCCAGCCCTGCCTGGAAATGCCAGGAATTCGTGCTTCGGTGTACAAAAATTATGCCTTTTTATCTGATGGAGTCTTCTCTTAAAAAGAAGACTAAGAGGCCATTCCTGGTAGTCTGAAGAAGGCCTGGTTTAAACAAAAACTAGATTCATTCTGTTCTGGCATCGTCGAATATGTGAACTTCCTGGGTCTGGAGTAAGGGATTTTCCCAGCCTTACCTGCAAGGGCTGGCATGTAAAAGAGGTGGTTGACTAAGTAAGCTGTAGTGCTTCATCTCAAAACAAATCAAGATTCTAGTCTTCATGGTGTAAATAAGGATGTATGCCTTGGATGGTCAAACTGCTGCTCTGTATTGCCTACACCAGTGTTTCTCAACCTTGGCGACTTGAAGATGTGTGGACTTCAACGCCCAGAATTCCCCAGGCAGCATGTTGAAGTCCACACATCTTCAAGTTGCCAAGGTTGAGAAACACTGGCCTACACCAAGGATGGATCATTTTTTTCAGCCTGGGGGGATGCTTTGCACTCTGCCTGGGGGCTGCAGGAAGCATGGTTGACAACATAACCTCAGTGGGGTGAATGGGTCTGACACCTTTTTTTGCCAAATTTTGCCACTTCGAGGGGAGACTCTGTGGGCAAAAGCATTGACTTCAGCTTGAAACGAAAGCCACCCAGTTCAGTCCTGGATCCATCTTGAAAACAGGAAAAAGCCCAATTTGAGAAAGCGTAAGAGGTGTTCTAGGAGTTGTAGGTTTAAGATGCCCATCAACAGTCTAGAAATTTCAGCCCTGGGTCACCCCAGAGGGAGTTAATGATCATTTTTCAGAATTTCCCTGAGCCTCAGGCCTCATGATAGGTATCTAAGAAAGAAGATAAAAAAAAGAAGAAACTGTTTCTGCTATTTCATTTTTATGGACAGGAGGATGGATTTCTGTACAGCTGACTGAATGTTCTGGTGTTGTTTTCTCACTCCTAGGGGACTGTTGGCTTTTAGCTGCTATTGCCTCGCTCACACTGAACGACCCCCTCCTCCATCGCGTGGTCCCCCACGGGCAGAGCTTTCAGAACGGGTACGCTGGCATCTTCCACTTCCAGGTGAATAACCGTCCTGCCGTGGGATCCTTGGTCCAGGGGCCGCAGATTCATTTCCTCTCTCTTTTCGAAATGCAAGCGAGGGTGTGAGGTCGTCCAGGTCGGAAGCACACCCAGAAGTCCTAGCTCTATCTTTATTGTAAGGTTACATTAACAGAATCGTGCAAGTCTGGAAGTCTTTCTCCCCCCCTCCTCTTACTCTCTGGAAAACTAGGGAGGATCCCTTCTGATGCTTTCCACATCCCTTTTCCTTCAGTGGGCTGAGCTACCTTTTAGTTCTGTCTTGGGAGATCTTCTGTCTCCCAAGGCCATTCCCATATACCACTGAAAATTATCATTTGGAGGCTGCGGGAATCCATATTTACTATTGAGCGGAAGATGCTTAAAAAGACCAAGATAGTTTGTTTGGCATGGTTGCATAATGGTGGTTTCTTATCTCAGCCTTCCTTAACACAGCACTAGCTGTGTAAGTTTGACCATAAATTTAGGATTCTTGACTTCCTTTTGTCTTTTGTCCCGGGAATAGATTTGGCAGTTCGGGGAATGGATAGATGTGGTGGTGGACGATTTGCTCCCGACAAAAGATGGCAAGCTGGTGTTTGTACATTCAGCCGAAGGCAATGAGTTTTGGAGTGCCCTGCTTGAAAAAGCTTATGCTAAGTAAGTATCTTTTGTTTGATTTTTTTTTCAAGGGGAAAGCGTTTAAAAGTTGTCTTGGTTGTCAGAAGGCTTGGCTTTCCCCCACCTCTCCCAAGAATTGGCTTTTGGAGAACCGCTCAGTTTTCCCATCTGTGAAATGGGCAGAAACACTCTGCCGGATGGCCTGAAATTCAAACGACCCTGTGCTACCTCTCCCTAGGGTGAATGGCTGCTATGAAGCCCTGTCTGGAGGAAGCACTTCGGAAGGTTTTGAGGACTTTACAGGCGGTGTGACCGAGTGGTACGATCTCCGGAAGCCTCCCAACGATCTCTTTCAGATCATTTTGAAAGCCCTGGAGAGAGGATCTCTCTTGGGATGCTCCATTGACGTGAGTATATCTGGGATGTTATCCAGCCCTTGGTTACAGATGGGGAAGCTGTGGGTTGACTCCTGAGCCATTGGATCAGTGTTTCTCAACCTTGGCAGCTTGAAGATGCGTGGACTTCAACTCCCAGAACTCCCCAGCTGGGAGTTCTGGGAGTTGAAATCCACACATCTTCAAGTTGCCAAGGTTGAGAAACACTGCATTGGACACTTGCAAGATTATATAGCTCCATCCCGCCCCTTTATGGGCATTTAGAACCTGTAATGTAGGTTTTTTTCTTCTTCCCTTTTCCTTCCCACTTGGAATTCCAGATCACGAGTGCTTTTGACATGGAAGCTGTCACTTTCAAGAAGCTGGTGAAGGGCCATGCTTATTCAGTCACTGGAGCTGAGCAGGTGAGTTGTGGAACCTCCGTGTCAAATGCAAGGGGCTTTGCTGCCCAGGGCTTACACTCACAGCTCATGTGGGCGAAATCAAAGTGAGAAGTGAAGAATGCTGTGTCTTCCCCTTAAAGAAGGGATTGTTAACCGTTAAGAGAAAGAAAGACTTCCTCGGCACGCTGCGCAATGTCTTTCATGTGATCCCATCCCGCGTAGTACATTTTCTCAGCCATCACGTTGAGTTTATTCTTTGGCCCGGGGGACCACACCAGTGGGTTTTAGGGGTTGCATTCTGCACTCTGCACATTGCTGGTCTCTGGTTCGTGCATTGCGCGAATCTGGTTGGCGGTGGCGTGTTACACGAAACCACAATGAAGCCGGCTTAACGTAAACTCCTTGGAACTGGGGTCTGACGACAATCTCTGCGTTCCAACAGATCAGCTACCGAGGACAGCGGGTCAGCCTGATACGGGTACGAAACCCGTGGGGAGAGGTGGAATGGACAGGAGCTTGGAGTGACAGGTAAAATGGTGATGCTGGAGTTGCTGGACTACAACACCCAGCGTTCCTCATCATGTCGCTTATGGAAAGCCTGCAGTAGAGAGAGAAAAAATCACCAGGATGAAGAAGGCCATATGCATGGTTGCCCCTGCGAGCCATGTGCTTCATTCATTTCCATAGGGCGATGTTCCTCAACCTTAGCAACTTTAAGATATGTGGACTTCAACTCCCAGAATTCCCCATGCTGGCTGGGGAATTCTG